TATTCCATATTTGCAAACAAATTGATGATACACATAGAATAGATTCGTCATTATTATTATTTTTGTAATCATTGTTAAGTGACTAATATTCATATTTTAAATAAAAATTGAGGCTGATTAGTTGAGTTATAACAAGCAAATACTGAAGATTCGTTTGATTTAACGTAGCTTTAGGGTAAAGGTCGCAATTTAAGTTTATGATGGTTATGTTTAGTAATAATGTATAAATTTATCTCTCTCTCTCTCTCTCTCTCTCTCTCTCTCTCTCTCTCTCTCTTTCTCTCTCTCTCTCTTTTCTAGCAAATGTTAAAAAGGTATAATAACAAGCGCTTAGAGACTTCGGTGGTAAGCGCTTTATAAGTAACGTTTTTATTATTATTATTAACTGTTTGGAACTACTCTTTAACTTGTACCGCTTTAAGTTTTTGTTTGATCGTAATGATTAATTAATTTATTCATTCATTCATTCATTCATTTATCTATTCATGCATTCATTAACTTATTCATTGAAACAAGTATATTTTATGGGTTTCTTGCCTGTGCAAACGGTCGTTTGACTCTACAATACAATCTTCTCCTGCGTCGTTTTTTTTGTTTTTTGTCTTTCTTTCACGATTTCAACCATCATTGTGCAATCCTTTTGATTGACATACGATCAATGCCAAGGGATCCGATTTAAACACAATAGTTCGACTTTTCCACAAATTTAAAGACCCCCCCCCCCCCAATCCCATTGCGAAAGGTGAAGGAAAGATAATGTCCTTGAAAAGTGCCATCTCCTATTGTGACGTAGAACTTTGATTGTGCAATGGGCAATGGACTCAAGCTGAATAGTCTCTAGGCGCAGACTCTAATTTTACACTTCAGTACAATTATCGAAGCGTTGAGCAGAGCCTAGATTCAGCTATGTTAGCCTTTGGCTGTGTCTAATCATGAACCTAATACAAAGGTTCATGGTCTAATACGAGCAGTTTGAGTACAGGGTCTATGTAGTATGCTGTCAGCTAGTCTCACAGTACAGACTGACTGACAATTAGGGTTTATGCTTGCAAACTAATGTCTGTCACTTGTCAAAACGAGATGTCAGAATTTGTATGCGCAGTGCAAACACGTAAGCAGTAGAAGAGTAAATAAATTAAATAGGCCTAGGACTAGCATACTTCCTTGAGTTATGAGCTGGGATGCAGTTTGGCCTGCACGTGATTAAACAAATATATGTTTGAGATTTAGGAAAAGAAACAGAAACCTAAAGAACCAATGCAGCGGTCTATGATAAATCTAATGCATGAATATTTTCAATTGGGAATTTTTGAGTTAATCCGTATTGATTAAAGTCGACAGAACCTGCCTCCACCGTACTTACATGTTGCTATATAATGAGGATAAGGCGCATCGAAACAGGTCGTGCGGGCAGATCGAAACAATGGGCACTATTCGAATCTGAGACATGTTTTTTCCTTCAATACCCTGCTTTTTTCTTCTTTTCTATTTCCATTTTTCTTCTTCTTTTTCTCCATTTCTATCCTTCTTCATGTTCATTTTCGTCTGTATTATATTTCTTTCTTCATCGTACAATCTTCTTCTCCTTCTTCTTTCGTCTCTTTGTTCCTTTTCACTTCTCCTTATCTCTTTTCATTTTTCATTTTAGTTGTTGCTTTTCCTCTCTATTCTTTTTCATCTGTTTACTTCCTTTTTTCTAATGTTCTTGCCCTTCTCCCCCTAATCCTCCTTCTTTCTTTTAAACTGCTTCCTCCTCCTCTTCCTCTTCCTCTCCTTCTTCTTTTTCTTCTTTTTCTCTTTCTTTTCCTTCTTCTTTTTATTCCTCTTGTTCTTCTTCTACTTCTTCTTCTCCTTCTTCTTTTTCCATCTCCCTGATCTTCTTCTTCCCCCCTTCTTATCAGTTCTCCTTCATCTTCTGCTTCTTCTTTTTCCTCTTCTTCTACGACTACTTCTACTACTACTACTACTACTACTACTACTTATTCTTCTTCTCCTTCTTCTTCTTCTTCGTCTTCCCACCTTTATTAGAATGTAACGAATCTTCTTTTCTTCACACTTTGCCCCCATTTCGAGATTTCATTATAATTCACTCCTTCTTTGCTATTTCATCTTGCAGTCAATCCATTACATTTCAATCACCAGTCCTTTTTAGTTTTGACAATGCAGTTTTTCACCTTTCTATTGTTTCACTGCATGTTGTTATATATTTCTCATTCGATATTCTATTCAGTCCCGGAACCATATGATCATTCTTTTCAACCTCATCATTATTATCTTCAGCTTTTTATTTTCTCTTTTTTCTTTCTGGTAAAATCTATTTACCCAATGGCTGTGCAGGAAATGATGGTTTCAGAATTTAAACGAAAAATTATGACCATAATGAATAAGAAATTAAATGAACAAAAAAGACTAAAGACACGCCATAAAATTGTTGGAAATGGATTAGAAGGTATTCGTTATAATTATGAGGGTAGACTCATACCGAACAGGTTGGAAGTGGATTATGGATATAAGTATTACATGCAAATTGTATGTGTTTCATTTATTATAACATCCTCCTGAGTAACAATCTACTATTAAGATGTCATATGTTACCGAAAATTATTTCTCACTGAAGCCATTCCGGCGCTAACAATTCGGGGTGTTTTTTTCTTCTCAGTTTTCAATCACAAGACCAATGGTTCAGATAATATTTCTCAAAGTCGGTCAGTTCAAGTAATACTAGCTCTACGAATAGACGGTGAAAGAGCAAGTCAATAGGAAATAATAAGAAACAGAATAATGCTACTCGACCATTAAAATTTCACCGTCAATAACGCATTGTTGTGCAAGATATCCTGCCAACCCAACCCCGTATCAGAAAACCAGTTCTGGAGAACCAGATTTGACCGGTTCTCGACGAATTTCTCACTGCTCAAATAGGAGGCGGACTACTCATGAATACAATGGTAATTGGTTAGGACTCTTTACCAGTCGTTTTCTGCGGGCGCTCAGCGTGATTCAAAACGTGCGAATGATAATGTCCTCGGTTGGAGGGTCTATTGTGCGCTGTATAAAGTATATAGATCATCGTTCTTTTATTTGGATTGTATACAAGCAGTCAAGATGAATTATCTCTTGCCTCAGAGTCGAGTATTTCAATAATATTTACCATCCCAGGTACAATCTACCTTGATATTTTCTAATCTATTTTGAGGGTTGGTGTTTATAGAAACATAATAATATAGAGATGTTATCTTTTTTGATTCCCCTGTGGGCCTCACAGTTATGAAATGAGGATAATAGTGATCAATCTACCCGAGTAATAGTTCATATCTTTAATGAAAATGCTTTGAAACGAGAAATTTTCGTTAAAATAATTGTTAAATCGTTAAATTGTACAATATACAGACCTCGTAAAAATGGACGTGTTGTGAAAGTTGATCTATGAAGGTCATTTTGTTGGAGACCCCCTATCTCGCTTGAGTATTGTGCTGTGCATTGAATAGTCAAGCCTTCTTTGAGGGCATTTTAGTTGAGTCGGTATTTATAATTGTAAATAGCAATGCAATTTAGAAGGCAGCGCCAAACAGAGCTATTATATCTGCAATTATTTGTGTTTAACTGGAGCCCTTCATTATTGTTATCCTCTAACGTAAACATCGGACACCCGCCCCCCCCCCCCCCCAAACAAAAAGATAGAGAGATTTGAGCATGCATGGACGAGAGACAGAGAGAGAGAGAGAGAAAAAGAATAGGGGTCCACTAACAATCCTACGAAGCACTGCCATTTTTTTTAAACCAAAAAGTGTGCGCAATTAATAAACACAAACCGAATCTTTAACTCCTTAGCCATCGTTAATATCCGCAGATGTACTGCAACAACACCAGCTGCTGGGCATTATTACGTAATCTCATTATGAAATTTGACGAGTATAGTGTAGATTTTCATGTATACGGGCAAGAACTGCTTACGTTGGACATCACACCGTTACGTATCTGCAAATTATTAGTCCCTTGATAATTAGGCACGTACTGTTATGTAATGACCGTGTGAGCATTGACAATGGAGTGGGGAGGGAGAGGGGGCATGAAGCTTGAAAAGTCAGCTAGCCGTATGGTTGCTGTTGTTTCTGTTGTTGTTGTTGTTGTTGCCGTTACTGCCGATGCTGTTGCTGTTGTTGTTGTCAGTAAAATAAATTGACATTAATGATTAATATGATTTATTAACTGACCTCTAAGAAAACAAAACAGGGCGCTTTTGGGACTTGCGGCATTATGCCCTCTTCCAGGGACTTGCATGTGGTAATGAAAATTAATTATCGAAGGGCATTACCAGAGCACCAACTTGATTGGTGCCGAACGCGGGACCTCCATAATACCAGATCACTGTCCTATACCACTGTGCCATCGTGATGTAGCTGACCATCCAGCATTGAATGGTCAAAATATTGATATATGACAGAATATGGAGAGAGTGTGAGAGGGAGAAGTTAGAAAGAGAGAGAGCGAGAGAGAGAGAGAGAGAAAGTGGGAGTTTAGAGAGAAAGAGAAAGAGAGATAGAGAGAGAGGGAACATAAGAAAGAGAATGATTATCTTGTTTTCCTTCTTTCTTTGACTACTTTTGAAGTTGAAATATAAAGAAGAAGGAAGTTAAAGATTTTTTTTTGTTTTTAAAGGGTCGCTGATGTGCTCACAAAACAACTCTTAAGCTTTATTTTGGATGGTATGGTCCAGTAGTTTCATGATCAATAACAAGTGCTTTCCAAAAGGTTCAAGCGAGCCTCAACATGTCATCAAAGGCTATTCGTCCCAGGGACGTTTGTGTTGACACTTGACAGATTATGATAGCCAGGCTCGCTCCATCGAATAATGCACTGATACAATATATAATGCGGTATATGGAAGCGACTGGGCGCACGTCTAAAACGAGGGAAGCCCTCGCCTTTTCATTGTGACGACACAAACCGCAAACAGCTGATTTGCGATCAGCTGACTGGTATTGGCCAAGCGACGCAGCCGTAGTAGAGCTGTCAAACTGGACTGGTTCAGCGCTGTTACTAGGCGAAGAAAAACCCATGGCGTCCCTAGCGGTATAAAAGTGTGGTTCTGGATGAAAAGTGACCACAGCACAAATGATTTCCAGCAGGTGACATACGCTTTCCCGAGCTCTCAGCTCTTGGCTTTAGCCACCTTTAAACAAGGACAGACTACATCATTCCCTTGCCAGCTCCAAGCTTCTTCTCCAACACCAAAGCTAGTTGAGTTTCTTGTCGGTCTCCCAGCAGACGATATATACAACAAAGGATTCATTTTCTCATCAAGATCTAGTAGGAAGAAAGAACTACATCATCATCATGACGTTTCTCAAGAACAAGATGGAAGGCGCTAAACTGACTCTGCGAAAGCAATGGGGATGGGTGGTGACCTGTTCATCCTTCATCGTCTTCTTCGCTCTCTTTGGGTTCCTCTACTCATATGGCATCATCTTCGTGGCCCTCAAGGATGACTTAGGCAGCAACGCATCACCTACCAGTAAGTACCAGCACCATCACCTTAACCCAAACCCATCTTTTAAAAAAATCAATCCGGAGCTATTTCGTGAGATGTGCTCTGTATAAGGTCGGTTTATAATTACATTTCATCAAAAGAAAAGACAAATCTGTTGACCATGTATTTGGTACTACTTCTAATACTTTGATGATTACATTTTGTTGTTCTTTGCTAAACTAGGCATACATGTGGATTAAAAAGACTTTTGTCGGAAGGAACACATCTTACGGAATCGCCCTGAAGTTATTTGATATCTGAAATTAATAGTGGTTGAATATGTTGTGTGTATGTCTGTATGAGTGTGAATGTTAATTTAAAGCTCATTATTTTACATGGTTTGCTTTGCTTTATTTTACTATTTAAGAAAATGTTTTTCTATCCAGCTTTAGCTTGTGGCATCTATTGTCTTGCTGTTTTGAGGATACTAGAAAGACATTAATATTTTGCTTCTTTATCTTCATAAATCATAATCATGATATAATAATCTATTCAGATCATCAACAGGGGGAACATAAAGATATTCTTCTCTTCTGCATGAAACGGATTATTACCTCTCATCTCTGTCAGCAGGATGAAATGCTTAGAGACATCGGAAGAGTTCAATATTTTCTTCATTGTGTACCGTTGAACGATGTCTATATTTACGAGTAATGCATATGTATATATATATATATATATATTTGTTGACACAGAAGTAGCATTATTTATTTCTGGCTCGCTTGTTTTGGGTGCTTGCACTTTTTAATGTCGACTTCGCAAGTTGTGTGAATGAGTGAGATTTGTGCGGTTTTCACCTGTCGGCTGTTATTGCAATCATAATTAAAGTGATAATCAGTCTCTTTGTGGTAGGATGTACAAACCGTGTAACATTGAAATAGTAAGTGATAGGTCAATACTGAACACAATTTACACATGTAGGTCACAACCAAAATGAGATATTATGATATTTGTGTGAGAGAGAGAGAGAGGGAGAGAGAGAGAAAGTCGCTTTTGGGTTGACGCGTACTTTGAATGGGCAGTACAACCGTTTTACTTCGGAATATAATGAAATATATTTTACGATTGAAAAAGAATTTAGAGCCGTAAGTCTAACTTAGAATAGAGGAATTATGATACCATTACATTCATTTTTTTTTTATTTCGTTCTCAATATCATTTCTTAAAATTTAAAAAAAAAGATATAAAATAAGCTAAACTAAAATCGTTGCAGTCAAGCATGTAGTCTACCAGTAAAATAGCAATACCCTGTTCTACTCTATTAAGCCCTGAAGAGCACATGTATTAAGATCGTAACTGCTCATGGGGAACGTTGCATGCGATTGGCGTAAAGTTGCGCAACCGACAGGGCGCCCTGCTAACTGGATCGTGGGCGTGACGTTATCTTTTGGACTTGTTAAAACCGGTTCGAGTCCTAAATTGACGCCGTGGGGAAAAGCGATTAGGTCTGTGAACTTGTATTCCTAAATAAAATCTAATAATGGTTTCTCTTTCAATAAATATGTATATATTTGTTTACATTTATAAAGGAGCATTAAGTTTGTAATCGCGCAGTGCGATATCTAACCAAATTAGCACAATCTTCAAATTCTCGATGATTTACCAATGAATTCATTCCTGAGCCATTTAGGTTGAAATAAGGGTGAAAAGATGTTAGCACCCAATACAAAAAAATTGTATTCTTCGGAGTTATATTTTTTCTTAACCTGTTCCACCTAATTGCTTACAGAAGAACCATATTGTGGGCATTTTGGCATTTACTTTACTTTGCGGAAATGACAACATACTAGGTTAACGTCTATGAAAACAGATTATCCCCAACTCCACTGACTCTGGCGGAAGCAATTCTCTGAACAAGTTTCCCGATTATATCTTGTCTCAGTTGTCTGGCATAGAAACGCACTGTAAAATGTGTATAAAGTGTTTTTCCCTTTTAAAAAGGATTTTCTTATTTTAGGATATAATCTATGCATCATAAACACATAAAATGTGAACTATGAAATGATAGACAAGTAGAAGTAGAAGTACAAGTAGAAACTCGAAAGCTATATATTATTATTAATCATCATCTATTTCTCCCATCGTGAAAATATTTTTTCTGGAAAAGTATATTATCTATCGTTATGTTAGTTTGAATATGGATGTATGTCAACAAGGCCATAGCAAGAAATTATAATAAAGAATAAATGAAAACGAGAGAGTGATTATGCTGATAACAACTCATATTTTCTTTTATCATCACAATGCAATGAAGTGTGTCGTGTCGAAACTTGTGAATCTTCTTTGCAGCGATTCCTCACTGACACTATCTCTTCAAAGATGTTTCATCGTATAAAGGAATCACTTGATAATTATTTTAGCCCTTTTGGCGTTAGATCATAAATATATCTGAAAGGTTTCCTGTACAACAATACTCATCACCCGTTCTCCATCTTCTTTTGTTTCTCCCCATCTCTTTTCCTCCCATCTTTGTTTCCATACAGTTTCGGCAGCCATATATATTATGTCTGTCCCCTCCATAGATAATTTGAACGATAAAGCCCACCGCCATGACCACCGCTACTACCAGCGACCACGCCCACGAGCAACAACCCTCTCTACCAGTGCCAGAAACACGCCCCTGATGCTCGAACCATGCAAAACATATGTGTATTCCCTTTTCTCTCAATCTCAGGCTGGGTGGGTTCGATCGCCATTGGTTTCCACACCCTGGGCAGCTTGGTTTCCAACCCCCTCGTCGCTCGCTTCGGTGCTCGACCTATCGCCGCCATCGGCCTCCTGATGTGCTTCTCCTCGCTCGTCATTACGTCGTTCATGCCGTCGATCATGCCGATGTTCTTCACCTTCAGTGTCCTCTACGGCTTCGGTATCAACATGGTCCTCATCTCTTCCATCAGCCTCATCCTCAAGTACTTCCCACACAAGAACTGCTCTAGGGCGACCAGCTTGGCCCTCATTGGGACCACCGCAGGTAAATATCTTCCTCAGATTATCGTACTTCATCAGTCTTTCTGACAGTTCTCTTTATCCAATCTCACGTATGTTAAGAGAGTTCATGTCATCTTCTTTTCTGTGTTTGAATTGGCCCTACTCATCTCAATTTAATTTTCTTTCTGAATTAAACGGTCAAAGAAAGAGATTATTATTTGAAGAGGAAAACAAATAGCCTGAAAATTTCATTCAAAGATACTGAAGCATTCAGGAATTTCTACGTTGTCCATAATCACATTAGTGGAGCATTTCATCCCGAGGTTTAATGTCCAATGGTTTTATTCAGCATTCATTCCCTATATTTTTAACAACGAAGAATGTTTATATTTATTATGATGTTTCTTTTGTGTATCTCTACAGGAATGTTAGTGATGAACCTGTTCATCTATTACCTGGTGTCCCAGTTCGGTTGGCGAAACATGTTCCGTATCATGGCCGGTATCATCCTCGCCCTCGGCGTTCCATCCGTCTCCACATTCTGTCAGCCTCCCAAACCACCCACCCATGTCGACGACGACGATGAGAAGAAGAAGCCCGTGGACGCCATCGAGGTCAAACTCAGCCCGGCCGCCATCGCCAAGGCAGCCGAAGCCGAGGGACTTTTGCCACCCACCGAATCGGACCTGAAGAAATCGTGTACGGAGGTGAGGTTGGACGTCGACCAGGATGTCAAAGTTCAGATCCCAGGCAAACCCGTATCCAGGTCAAAGGCGATCACACAGAGGTTGAAGGTCCTGACCTTCCCGGAAGTCTGGTTCCTCGCCCTTGGCCTGATGGGATGCGCAATGACCATGAGTTTCTACTACGTCAGCATGGTAAGTTTTATTTTTGTCTAGTCATTTATTGTCAACTTTTGTTTTAAAAATATTGATATGAAAATGAAATCACGTCACATCATTTTCCATAACCACATCTTCTATATGCATTTTAAAAACTACCTCTACTACTTCTTGATACAACATAATTCCACATTTCTCGATCTATTTCCTTTCTCCTGCATGAATTATCCACCCTTTTCGTATCACTAAGAAAAACATCCCATTATGGTTTCCATGGTAGCAAAACATGTTTAGCCTGGGCCAGGCGTAGATGATAGGCTGTTACGTGTTTTCAGAATGATTTTAATGATAAGAGGATGTTATGGGGCAGCTAGTAAACCCACAAAAAAAGTCTGATTCTCAGCTACGTCTATCAGTGGATAAAATTAATAGTAAAACTGTAAAAGTGCAAGCGTCCTGATTCCAGTATATACACCGCGCCCAAGATAACTGATCGCAATCACGTTTTTCCCACCACCTCATGCTCCCTAGCATCCGAAACAATACCTGTCCGACCTTGCCGCAACCACGAACTAGGGTGTAATTAGGAATTGATTGTTTCAGGATTTGGCTGAACTGACAAATCGATTGTATTGGCGTTAGTAAAGGTGAATGAAACTTCCGGTTTAGACAAACCATGTGGTAGATCATCCAATTGGTTGGATTACTACCAAAATACTGAAATCGAATAGCGGAAATGGGAAGGGAGTGGAGTTAGGTGAAGTTTTTGCGGCGGCGACTAGCGGCTTTGATGATAGCCAGGTGTGAAACAATGGCCGTCTGACCAGTCAAGACCTTGTCAACGCCGAGTTAATATTTCATTAACGTACTGTCAGATAGAAGGAAGGGCTTTTGTCTGGGAGCGTTTAGTGTCCAGTCAGAAACCTTGTGCGGTTCGGACACCAGTCACTTGACTTTGATGTTAAATCAACTCCCGAACTTTTTATTTTTTACTTTATTAAATCGCCTACTAATTGATATCATCCAACATTCACATCTTAATTTTCAGTTATTCACACATCCGCACTTATATATACGTTTTTACCTGATTTGTTTTTCCTTATTCACTTTATTAGAATATTCTCAAAGTATTTTGATAATTATTCTAATGAATAATGAAGAGACATTCGCTTGTCTCATCGAAACAGACTTCAATACAGTCTCTCATCTATTCTCTTCCGTCGCCTTCTTAACTTAGACCTACTTCTCATAAAAAATAAACAAAATACAAATATTAACAGTATAATCGTCATACCCATAAAGTGATTAATTTTAATCTGCCCTTGTCCTTGTTTTAGGGTTTTATCAGTAACGAGCGAGATAAATCTGTCATCAATTCAATAAGTTTCTTTTTCTCAACAATCACGCGATGCCGGGAAATATTGACTAATTACCTTATCAGGGTATCAAAGTCCGATTGTAAATCCTACTTCAAACCACTTACAAGCCTACTTAAACTGTACTTTATCTATAAGTAGCCCAAAGCGTCGTAAACAACTGATAAGCTTTTGCAAAGTTTACCAACTTAAGCGTCGAGTCTCAGGACGGAATCTTAGCACACGATTATGAATTTGTGGGACTAAGATGGGAATGGATGGGTTAGTTTAGTTGAAGCAGAATGACAAACGTAAGACATGGTTTTTACGAGATTAAGCTAATCTTCTTATCTTCTTTGACAGATCTTTTGACAGATGTTGAGCGCTTTTAAAATCGCTTTGACGTTTTTGTGTCTGCTCTATTCTTTTAGAGTTATGAAATAGTTTATTTGAGCCCGGGGGAGGGGCACTTTAGATGTCGCCTATTTTGAAATATTTTAAAAGTTTAAGGACGTTCTTGTCGTCTTCGGAACTGTTGATAGATATTATTGTAGCCGCCGAAGTTTTAAAAAATATTCCCTTTTAATATCTTTCTTCTTCACTGTTTCTCAATTCTAACAATCAACATACTGATCAAAATTTGCATCATCTTCATCATCATCATCATCATCATCATCTTCATCATCATCATCATCATCATCAAACACCATCTCAACGACTTTCGCAACCATGGTTACCATTATATTTACCCCCACTGCTGAACCACTCAAGATTACATTTTATACATGTATAGAGTTCAGATACGTTGAAGTCACATGAGTGACACGATAACAAAAACTAAATATACATTTTGAAGTGCATTTATGTGATAAGGACATGATTTATAAATAATCTCATCGAAAAGGGTGAGAGAACATGAATACCACCTTGCTGGGTGGTACCGTAATCTTGAAACACTCCTGGCATATCAAAAGTATGTTTGCGCAACCCATGTATTATCTTGCTATTGTGTGATAAGATAATCATTAGATGTGTATACAAACTTTCATATCAAAGGTACTCAGGCAAGATAAGATCATAATCATATCGGAAAAGAAATTACTTAATAATTACTTAATAATGATGATTGAAAATTCGTCTTTGGGGTCGGTTATCCAATACTGACGTGCGCTTATGGTGCATGTTGTCAAGAAATAAACGCGCACCAGCAGTGTATATAATATTTCTTAAGTTCTTATCTATTTAATACATTTCATTATATTTGATAGTCAAGTTATACTCAATCTTCCTCTTTTTCTGACTCGTTATAGGTAAACTTCATGACGACCGCCGGCATCGTCGAATCCAAGTGCGCCCTGATCATGGCCGTGGTCGCCATCGCCGAGGTGTGCGGCAAGGCCTGTCTCGGTATCTTCGGTGATCACCTACCATTCCCTAAGGTTTATCTCTTCGTTCTCTCCAGCGTTGTCGGCAGTGGAATCATGTACGGCCTCACCGTCGCTAAGACCGTGCCCTCGATGATGTGCGTCGCAGTCGGTAAGAAATGTTACATTTCCCTTCTTTTTAAAGAATGCAAACGTTCTTTGGACATGACTTAACGTTCTATAAACGCCACCTGGACGTTATATGAACGTCTTGAAAACGTTAAGTCTTTGCCAGGATCTAGTAAGACGTATCTGCTGATCATAAATAAGACATCAAACTGTGTTCAAATTTGCTAAATAAATCATCTGAAAGGAAAACTTTGATACTATTGACATGTAAGTTAATGGAGGAAAACAGAAAAAAAATTGAAAGGCTATAACAATATTAGTTCAATTACGGTAATATTGAGTGTAATGCAAACAAATTACTTCTGTATAGTACATTTTGAATAACGAAATACAAGTATTTAAGTGTTGCATTATATACCCCTCTCTCTCTCTTTCTCTTTCTTTCTCTCTTAATCGACCGATCTATAGTTTGGGAACTTTTCTGTTCTTTCAAAATTACTTTCAATCTTTTTTGTTGCATTTGTAAGCATGCCAATAAACCCGATGTTTTATTCTTTCTTCTTCTTCAACAGTTACTGGTTTCCTTATCATGACGGTGTTTGATGCTCTCCCGTATTCCATCTGCAATCAAGTGTTTGGGGCTGCTAGGAGCGTCGAGGCATGCACTGTCATCCTGGTCGCCAACGGTCTCGGACTCATCCTCGGATCCCTGTTCGGTAAGTTTCCCTCACACGTCTTCGTCATCGTCGTCCTACTCGATCACGAAACTAAGTAGCACTACTCGTTGTATGACGAGAGCTAGAAAGACGTTTCCTCTTTGCAAAATAATTTGGATTTTCTTTTTCTTTTTCTGACAACAGTTATTATCGTTTCAATCTACATGAAACCAATTTTAATTCAGTGGTTCGATCAATCTTTTGCAGTTATGTGAGAAGAGTATATAGTTATATTGCAACTAAATTTAACATATTTCTTTCAGGACAGTGTTTTAAAATCAAATCATTGTAGCTGTCAATGTTTTAAAACAATAAATGTCTCACAAGTGAGCGCATTTAGAAGGGTTAAGCTCCGTAAGAGGCTTTAGTTTTTGATATTTTTATTGGGTGACAAGTCCAGACGTTAATAAATATATTTTGAAAGTGAATCAGGTGATAAACGTTTTCTCTTCCTTTTTGTTTCTTGCAGGCGAGAGTGTCGACAAGACCGGTTCATACGATGATGCAATCTATGCTAGCATTGGTATCTACGTCGCCGCAACAGCCCTGTTCTTATTGGTCCCATTCTACCAAAGATGCTTCGCTCCTGATCGATACATCATGGCCAGGACCAAGCCCAAGTCCGTCAACGAGATCGAAGCCATGGGCCCGTTCGAGACCTGGATCTTCCTGCCCCCAGCCATCGAGAGCACGGTCCATCTCGACTTCGAATCCTCGGTGTGAACACAACCCACGCCGATCGACTCGCTGACCTCATGATGCACGACTAGCCTTGAAGCCTGTTAGGACGAGTTCACAATTCAACTTAATCTCCAACGCTACCATAGATTTATACGGACTTCAATACCTTAGTATGAACTGAGCTCTATGGTGTGTGCGATTGGGACTTCGACTTCCGGGTGGATGGCGATTGTTAACTCAGATTACGGACACGCGACGATGATGATTACGATGATGATGACGACTTCGGTCGCCGGTGATATTTAATTGCCGCCACATCAGCCGCGTCAAAACCAAAACTTAACGCGAAAGACATGCTGATGACACAGCAGCTAAACTGATTGTGATGTCATGTGACGTCATGTGACGTCGCTGCTTTAAAATGACAGTTGCTGCTGGAAGAAACAGACTAAGAACTAACGCATCAAAACTTAAATTAAGTTTTTTCTGCATGTAATTCTTCCAGGTTGAAGTGACTGCATTTTCCTCTTTACCAGACCATCTGGTTCTTCACAGAAAAGGGGAATTCTGCCAATATTCTAGTGGTATTTTCATGAGACTCTTATACCTAAAAAAAAAAAGCGTATGTACCTACCAAGGAAAAAGCATTTTATTACAACTTCTTATCAAGTTATTTTAAGTTCCAATATATCTATACAAAAAAATACGGTTTATGGATGTTTATTACACAAAATGATGTGTGTTTCGGCGCATGTCTAAAGCAAGTCACTGTTCAGTGACTTTCGGCACTTATTAGAAACATTTTCTTCTATTTTTGTTTCAATTATACAAGACACTCTCTGTCAACAATGCAATTTTACTTCACAAATGATTCGATATCTCTATCGATATATCGATGAATATTTCCAGCGTCGTTGAGACGCAAATTTGAAACGCCGCACAATTATATGTACTATAACTCGGCAGAGATTTAAAGAATGCCTGGATATCAGGTATCGGAGATACTATACTAGTGTGTGATATTTATACCAGGGAGGTCCCTGACTTGAATTCCCCTATGTGTGATGGGAAAACAAATCTTCTTTTTCGTTCTTTCATGTTATTATTCGTGAGGGAACTTACTTTAAAATAGTAGCATTAATTTATTGGAATATTAGGATATTTAAATGAAATTCCAACGAAAAGCAATGCAAATATTTCTTCATGTAATTCCATAAATTACGCAAGAAATTAGCAGCACTGCGCAGGCGCAGTTTTAAGATTATGACGATGGATATTTCAGTTGTGTTGAAATTCCCCTTTTTTTAGAGAGAGACAAACATATATATAAATTTATATATATATATATATATTATACTGTTGACAAATTTAAGCGCGGGCGCTGAAAGTATTGTGATTATGACCGTCACTGACTAGATAAATCAAATAGTTCAACGATTTCAGGTGAAAAAAGTAAATATTAATTTTGTACAGAGAGAATAATATATGAAGCTTACTTGATGCACCTAACATGAATATTATATAGCTATAAAAAGAAAGCTAGCTTATTTCTCCTTTTCTCGTGGACTATTTGATTTATCAGGGTGACGAGATGCTGCATGATGTTTATAAATTATGACATGATATGTTAAAGATTATCGAGGGAGAAAATCCATTCCTTTTTTTTTCTGTGAGTCATTAGGTTTATTCTGATTTATTCGTATAAATGTTACACACTTGTTACAATTGTATTGTAAGAAATAAAGTTTAATTTGTCGTATAGAGCCAGAGCTCACATTCGTCGAAACGTTTCAATAGGTTGGTATGATGTTCTTAGATGTTATTGAGTCGAAGTTATGTTTCATATATTCGTTTTAAAGTGCTGAAAAAACATATGTTCTTGTATATTACAATAACATGTATTTTTAAAACACATAGGCCTATGTGTAACTCATTTTAGTTCATATTTTATCGTCTTATTTTGTTTTGTTTTGCGGGTGCAATGTTGACCAACACGGCACCCTTCCGTATTAACACCATTATTTCGTAAAGATTGTTACCTATTAGTATTATTTTGATCATCTCTTTTATTTTTGTTTTAAGGGAGTCTAGATAAACTACTGCTATTCTTGTCATGTTCATAAACTGTGTTATAACTGATTCAATTTTTGGAATCGCAATATATTTTACGGTGTGTATGTTTTTGTATGTATATGTATATTGATGGAATAAAATTCATATGTCTTGTGATAATTTATACAAAACAAATGCACTGGTTAGCTGCCTTTATATTCTGCTGTCGAGACAAAATAGTAATTGTGATTTGATATGAAGAAAAAAAAAAGAATGTTTAATTACATGTACAAACAAGATGAAATGAAGAGGACTGGTGAGATCGTGAAGTGTATAGCGTTTTGTTGATGATAATTATTTTGCTTTTGATGATACGGATGATGATGATGAAGATGATGAATAGTGATGATGCCGATGATAGTGACGATGATAATAAGAATCGTTATGATGATGAAAGTGGTGGTTAGAAGCAGAAGAAGAATGAAACAAGAAGAAGAAGTAGGAGGAGGAGAAGATGAAAAAGAAAAGGAATAGAACAGTAGAAGAAGAAGAAGAAGAAGAAGAAGAAGAAGAAGAAGAAGAAGAAGAAGAAGAAGAAGAAGAAGAAGAAAAAGAAGAAAAAGAAGAAGAAGAAGAAGAAGAAGAAGAAGAAGAAGAAGAAGAAGAAGAAGAAGAAGAAGAAGAAGAAGAAAGAAGAAGAAGATGAAGAAGAGAGAAGAAGAAGAAGAAGAGAGAAGAAGGATGAAGAGAGTGAGGGGTGGTGAAGTAGGGGAAGAGGAGGAGGAGGAGGAGGAGGAGGAGGAGAAGGAGAAGAAGAAGATGATGATTATTATTTTTTATGATGATAGCGATAATCATGATGCAGCCACAGATGATGAGGAGGAGGATGATATTTACCGTCTTGCTAAAGTGATGCATGACATTGATAGCCTTTCATTTCTCGTCCTATCCTCCTCTTTTCCTATCTAAGAATTCGTGGGGGAAAAAAATAAAAACAAACAATTTAAGCGCGATCTGCCATTCTAACAAACTATCCACATCGAACGTTTCTTTTTCTAGTTTTCTTTCATAATTAAAAAAACAAACATTTTACCTACTGTACTTCTCACATTCAGTTTAACCTTCTCTCTAGTTCTTTTACATTTCCATTTTCATTCGTACTAATGTGACGAGACAAACTTGCAAAGTAAGCACAACATCCATTAAAATGCCCTTCTAATTATCATTGATTAAACAGAATAAGGAATTACATGGTTTAATTCTTTAGTGAAAATAAAAAGATTATCGGATTATAAGGAAAGGTCGATGAGAGGTCATTCGTTTTATCATCCATGATCGTGCAGTATTATCGTGGACGATGAGAAGAATAATAGCAGTGGCGTATCAAGACTGTGTCCCTTGGTGAAGGGGGGGGGGGGGGGAGTTGGGCATTTGAACTTTACATAAAGGTCAAGCGGGGCTTACATTTATTGCTGGCAACGATTTAAATGTTTGCCTTTCCATGTTCATGTCCAGGTTTGGTACATTGTTTGCGAAGTACTTTTTCGAGAGAGCAGAATGTTTATCACCATCATCATTATATTGCTATTATTATTATTATTTTTATTGTTATTATTATTATCATTATTATCATCATTTTTACCATTATTATCATCCTTATTATTATTCATTAACCTGTATTTTAAATATGGTTCTATAGATTCGTGTATACAAAGAGCCATCTTAAATCACTGACTTAAAATATAAATGGTCTCATAATCTGCTAAAAATTAATATGTTTTTATTTTGTTAAAGTTGGCCATCAACTTTAACAAAACAAAAACATTCATACCAAATTTTGTGTCAGAAATCTGTAAGAGAGAGGGGGAATTGCCCCAATTTGCCCTTTATAGGCTAGTGGATGATAGTAAGATGAAGGTAAAATGAACTATTTAGCAATTGGAAGAAACAAACCAAAGGGTAAATACAAGGTGAGTAAATAAAAACCGTTCGATTTTAATCCTTGAGCGGTATTTGTTGATTACGCTGATAAGATGAAAAACTCCTTAGACAATGGATGGCCGATATTGGGACTGTACCGATGAAATGCAATGTGAAAATGGGCATTTTTCTTCTTCTTCTTCTTCTTCTTCTTCTTCTTCTTCTTCTTCTTCTTCTTCTTCTTCCTCTTCTTCTTCTTCTTCTTCTTCTTCTTCTTCTTCTTCTTCTTCTTCTTCTTCTTCTTCTTCTTCTTCTTCTTCTTCTTCTTTCTTCTTCTTCTTCTTCTTCTTCCTTCTTCTTCTTCTTCTTCTTCTTCTTACTATTTCACTTATCTTTTCTTTCAAAGCCTCTCTCCCTCTTTCTCTCTCTCTTTCTCTCCCTATCTATCTTTCTTTCTCTCGTTTATCCTTTACATTCTTTACATCATGTCATGGTCTGCCAGTGATATTGCTAATTTTTACCCATTTAATAAAAGTGGAAAGTCATGATACTAATATCTTGAATTCAATATCATAATGTTGCTATTCATAACTGTGATCACTTCACCAAAGAAAACCAAAACTTCATAAAAAAAAAGGGGGAAAGAATCACACGCCCGAATTCCATAACGGTTTGACAATATAAAGTTTATTGCTACGTTGAATACCCTGTAATGAAGAACAAGACAAGCTGACTATATACATAATTATGACAATAAACCTACCTATTTGGGGATAGTTCAATAGTATAAACCCGACAAAAACATCATAAAGATGCCATACAAGTTAATAAAATACAGCCTATTCTTATTACATACGATGGATAATGAGCGACATAAAACCCTCTTTAAAAATCTCTATTATCCAAATATAATTATATACAACTTTGTCCAGTGTTCACAACACTGCCGTCATAAAAGATACATAATAAACTTCACTAAATATATAGACTAAATCAACTCATATCAATATATACATTATATACAACTTCATTAAATATTATATTGGCAATTCAGATTTTCTGCATTTAAATAGTTTACATAAGTTTCAGAAGAGAATTTGATATCTTCCTCCCATTATTTATGGATTCGAAATGTAAATACCAATTATTGACGAACAAGGTGGTCCCAATAATGAAAAATACTAGACACTATTTAACTCTTGAAGATTTTGTATTACGTCAATGTCAAGATTAAGACAAAATTGTTAGCTATGGAATGTGGATTATGTCGCAGAGTGCAGTATGCTGCCCAAGTATAGACCCAAAAGTTGAAATATAAAAGGAAAAGTGATATCGATAACAAATTGTTGTTGAACCAAAGAAGAGCCGATCGACATTTTCAGCTTGTTAAGCAAAGTAAGAAAGACTTATCGTTTCCTTACGCCCATATAACATTTTGAATTGACTAGAAAAATATTACATTTAGATGTAGTCATGATTTTTTTATAATTTTTGTTAAGCGGTATATTATATTTCTTATGTTTTGGTATCATATAAATAGGGTAAAAATGACAATTACACTACTGGTTTCTAAACGGACCTCGTAGGCTTATACTAATTACATAATTATTACATAACCAATATTTTGTATGATCTCCAGATACAGAAATAGATCGAGAGTCACGTGTACACGCATGCGCTATCTGGAAAATAACAGTTTGAACAATGATGTTTTGTTCAGTTCTCGTTCAGATACACGTTTTGTACGACTTTTTGTGTGAACTGTTTTATGACGACGATCTAAAAACCCATCTGCTGGTGGGTATTTTTAACAGACTAAAATTGTATGTTTACATTGGAATCTAGGTGAGGGAAAAATGAAACACCATCTATAGACTCCTTCAAATTAGGTGAAAATTGATACACACGTTCTTTCGTAAAATTGTAAACATCACGTTTTGTTTGTTTATTTGTTTGTCTGTTTGTATGTTTTTGTATGTTTTGTCTTTACATGTTATCGAAGAAGTACCACAGTAAGAGCATGATCGTATAGGTCCGTGGTGAGAGATACAGTCTTGGTTTTACATGTATTCATATCGGGTAGGAACAAATCGGCTGACGTCAATGAAGTCCTAAGAAAAAAGGAAAAAAGGAAAATAATATAATCACAATGTTTATCAATGAATCGATAGCATAAAATACAAACTGATGAACATACCAAACTGATGAGCTTTCTTCACTAGCTTACTTTCTGTCCTTAGCGTTCAATACCTAATTTCCACTTCGCAGACAGTACTCGTTGCGAGAACCAACCCATACTGCTACAACTGACCTGAGATGGCGCTAGAGTTGATTTTGCGGAAGTGCTTTTAGTAAATCCATCAAACTGGTTGACATTTTTAATTTAGTAGACAAATAGTAATAATATCAATGTTAATTATGATGATGATGATAATGATAATAATAATGATAATAATGACAATGACAATGACAATGATAATGATAATGATAATGATAATGATAATGATGATAATAATAATAATAATAATGATAATGATAATGATAATGATAATGATAATGATGATAATAATAATAATAATAATGATGATGATAATGATAATAATAATGATAATAATGACAATGATAATGATAATGATAATGATAATGATGATAATCATAATAATAATAATGATAATGATAATAACAACGTTGATAATAAAAACGTTGATCATAATAGCAATAATAATAACAATAATGATAGGACGATGATGAAGATGATGATGATAGCGATGTAATGGGCCATGTCCATACAAATTTAAACTTGTGGCTCAATTCTGAGAAATATGAAATCATTGTGGACATTCAGAAGATCGAATAACATATTTTATGAAATGTATTACAGTATTGCTGTTGGTTAATGAATATAAAGTAAATCAAATCAAAATCAAACTTGGATCGGAGGGGTGTTCACACGTACCTGTGGTGCTAGCTTCTCCAGTTCATGAACCAGCACCCTGAAGGAAGGTCTCTGGCTCGGATCAGCCTGCCAACAACTCTTCATTAACTCATACCTGCATGGGAGATACAGAGAGAGAGAGAGAGAGAGAGAGAGAGAGAGAGAAAGCGAGGGGAAAAGATGAGGGGAAAAATAGATAAATGGAGACAGGGAGGGAGAGAGATGCTTAGAAATATATATGTAGGTTTAATTACATTATCTTTTTTTGTGGGGGGGGGGGGGGCATTTACCATCTTTATATTTCTTGTCAAACGGGTGCATACTAGCAAATGATTTTAGGTAATTGAGCATAGTTTCTTTCAAAGTGACAAATAGAATCATATGTGTTTAGTAATAGCATCAAAGCTTGGCATATATACGTTTGATGGACCGATCTAATTTTCCAGGGGCGGATTCAGGGTCCTTTAAATGGGGAGGGGGTGGGGACAATCCCGAAGAAAGAAACCACTAGCAAGCAAGGGAATATTGGCTTTTGCATCTTACAGCATGTTAAGGTGCCTTTGGGATTATGAAATTGTTACAAGGGCGAAGAACATTATTTTCAAAGAATCATTTGTTTAGTATGTGTATGCCAGATTAGGCTTAAGAGGGGGCATAGGGCATTAGGGGGCATTTGCCACCTTCAATCTGCCCCTAGCTGCGGGCCCTGAATTTCCTATACTTACGTTTCATCTGGACACTGAGGCGGCTGTTCGAGACGATGGCCTGCCGGGATACGGGTTTTCACGTCACGAGATGACATACCGGTGTAAGGCGTGGCACCTATGTTTTATCATAGCAAGAGTGAATATATTTAATCAACATGTTAACCAGCATTTTAGTTCCATTGTGTTTTGGATTTATGAGATGATTGAGAAAAAGTAATAATCAATACTGCTATGACTTTCATTTTCACACATAACCCGTATTGTTGATATGATAACAAACAAAATACTAATTAAAAGATGAAATACCCTTTTTTTAGAAGGAGGCTGAAGTGACAACAAACATAATATTCTTTTTAAATGCATATGCCATTTTTGCTTTGCCGTCTGAATTTAAACATGAACATCACATAACTATATGCCTTTGACCATAAACGTAGCATTACTGACATGACTGAGACACAAAGTCCAAAGAATGGTCAATTTGATGATGATGACGATGGTGGTGATAATGATGTTGTTGTTGTTGTGGTTGATGAAGATGATTATCTTGTTGTTGTTAATGCATGTTCTTGTTGTTTCGAACACTGATTTGGATTATCTTACCGAAACAGACCAACTCCCAGAGTAGTATACCAAAGGACCAGACATCGTTAGCAGGGGTGTAGGAACCACCACCAAGCACCTCTGGCCCCATCCATCGGACCCCCATGCGACCCTGTCAAAATCATGATCAAATGAGGCGATTAGATGAGGAAGTTCGTATATTTGAATTTGAAAATGCAATTGAAAAAAGAAAGAGCATGTATCGTAATTTGTCGATACGGATGGTTAAAATCTATTGAAATCCATGATCTAGCAAGTGATCAGAGTGGCCAGATCAAAGGAAAAATTTGATAAGTATTGCAAGATAGGTAAATGAAATGATTAACACGTAAGTAAACTCTTGAAATATGTTATAAAGGATCAGGTAAAAACATTTATATCTAAATAATGATTGCAATCATTAAATATAAAACGTGCTACAAACTTTCGCATGAGATGATCTAGAAAGTTATTTTCACAATTATGACGATAATGCTTTATGTTTACAACACTTGTGAAAAAAAGAATTTCCATTTATGTGGACAATAAAACAAATCATATAAAATTTTATGATTTGTTTATAGATAACTTCCAAAATGGAAAGTGACATAAAGCATTTTAATCATTTACAAACACAATTTTCTGACATGGACAAATTCGTTACATAAAACTGTATGTAACAACTTCTAGAGATAGAAGAGATGGTACCCACCTGTGTTACGATATCAGTCGGCGTTCTGATTCGATAGCTGTTGTTTACCTTCGCTCTCAGATAGTCGTTGAGAAGGATGTTTCGACTCGTCAGCTCACCATGAGCAACCTATCAAATAATTCATTTTAGAAACGAAATAATGGTTGACTCGATCTCAATACGAAAAGCATCAATTTTAAAGCCCCACTGTCCTACTTGTAGCTACTTGCTCCCTCTATATAGAAAACTTCCCCAATCGGTGCCTGTTGATCCCCCATGATCCTCTTTTTCTTATGTTAGTTGAGAGCTGAGTTAATGAGATAGCCACCTGTCAGTGACCTCGTTGTGTGGTCTAATCCCTTCTGGCCCAGTAGTATTGACGGTCTTTATATAGTTTTTTTACACGAACCTGCCGTTTTGATTTCTTACAGAATTACATTTTCGATTTGGTTGTTTATCTTTTGTATATTTTAATACCTCATTATGATGACCGGATGCGTAAATCATCTAATAATATTTTACCAAATAAATGGATAACATAAAGTGCCTACAATTTGAAAGCTTGAGGAAAAATAGGTATTCATTGACATTGACATTCATTGACATTCATTATTCATTGACATTGACAGGTATTCATTGACATTCGAATGGTAGTCAAAGGCCGTTATACTTTTGACTATAAATATACGCGGCACGGCTCAACATGCTACTTGCTACTAGCTGACGAGTGATGGCAGCAAAGCACTTTAATAATCTGTCATTATCCATTGTCATCAGGTTTAGCAGTCATTACGAAATGAAAATGAAGACATGGGGTACATTAATTATCAATATCTGAACCTTTTTTTCCCCCACCATTATGTATACATACGCACTTGGAAATTGTCGCCTTACTCAATGACAGCTCAGCCAACCAACTTTGCCCCCGGCTTTGCCCCCAGCCCCCTCCCCCCCCCCCCAAGGAAAACAAAAAGCACAGGTGAAACTTAAAGCCTCGGTCACAAATGCCATTACGAACAGCTACGCCGTACGAACGATTTTTAGACAATGGAAATTCGGGAAGACAATGGAAAAACAGGGAGATTCGTACGAAATTATCGTTCGTACGAACCTTTGTGACTGTAGCATAATTATGGTAGAAAAGAAACACTTTCTTTTACCCTATGAGGAAGCTGGCTATTATATACACGTCTTTACACAAAAGCTTGACTGTAAATATTATCTTACCTTTTGAGTCTGGAGAAACGTCATTCCCTTGGCCGTGTGGATGGCAAATCGGAGGAAGATTTCAGCTGGAGGGGGCTTGGCACCAGGGGTTCCCGGCCGGTTACGGCGGAGGAACGTCTGGAGAGGACCCTTTGACGCGTACTCCAAGATCATGAAGAACGGATCTACATGGAATTCGATATAAAAAATAATGAAAAGTTTGGCGGGGAAGGGGAGGGGGTCGATATGTAGTAGGAAGATGATGAAATGCCATATATCAGACGCAATGCGTTATTTCCTTTTGATACGTCACAGAGTTGCCAATTTGTGTTTGATTGATCACACCTTCAAAAGGTCATAACTTTCTTTAATACTTTTAATCGGATTCTTGCTCAAACCTTCACTGACCTATTTCTCTATTTTTTCTACTTCTGTAAAAAAACACAACTTAAAGAGAAGGTTGAGTTCTGGGAAGAGGTGAAAAATAATTTTTGAGCATTACTCATTCTTATTATGCAAGAGTGGAAGAACATCAGTTAAGACATGTTCCCTGAAAAGCATGGCTCTTCAAATGCCTTCATATTCTAACTATGCATGTAACATCGTAAAAATCGGGGGCCGGCTTTTTACGCCACGTGTTTGTGTAGTCCCATATACGTCTTTCTGTGCAAGTGTTTGTAACTTTACCAAGACTTGACCAAATTTCTTATCATTTCGATGATTCCAGAACCTTGCAATACACACAAATTCTTATATGCTAGATGATCAACCTTCTCTGGTCGGTTCCACACCGTTTCTTTCACAATGCAATCGCATGACCAGAACTCAACTTCATCTTTAATATCAGCGTGGAATTTCCCTTAAAGCCACGCTGCACAACCGTTGGCCCTATGGTCCCCTTTTTCTTATGTTAATTGAGAGCTGATTTGATAAGAATATGATAACCACCTGTCAACCATGCAGGAAGGTCTAATCCATCCTGGCCAAACTAGTACATATAGGCTTTAAACCGAGTAACAGTGAACATACCTGACTTGGTGCAGCAGCCGACGAAAGCAATGACGTTAGGATGGGCCTTGAGTTTCTTCATCGTCTCAATCTCTTGAAGATAGGCAGCCTTGGAGGTGGGGGAAACGTTACCTATTGTATGAAGAGTACAACGTAAATAAAAATAACACGAGATTATGCTTTGAAATATTAAAAATAATATAACAGTAGCAATGGCGCTTATGTGTACGATATTCACGTGTATTATCAAAATTGATGATGATGATGATGATGATATTGATGATGATGATTTTATTCTTGTTTAGCCCTAGTACCCGCCTCTGTTCGACGCTCTTGGCCCTTGCTTTAAAATAAGAATATAAAGTCTTGGCTTTTAAAAAAAAACAGGGCTAGATCTGAATAGAGGACAATACCATTTATTTATTTCGGGACCTAAATCTAAAAGAAGGTGAAAAACGCCCTCCCGGCTCCCAATCAAATAAATTTTAACTTACGATTGAGAACTTTGATCAAGATAGATGTCGGCTCCTCATCTTCCTTCTGCCCGGGCAACCAGACACCTGCCCGGTGAATGGAACCATATGCACCCTCAGCAATCTCCTGCTCCAGCTCGATGTTGTCCTTGGGTAACTCGCCGTAATGCTTGTTGAATTGGTTCAGATCGCTTCTCTGTAAAACATGAAGTGGGAGAAATGATATTATAAGATGATGATATGGATCCTAATCAAATGATTGGTTGAAAGCGTACACGTGACCATGCATTTATTTTGCCTATCGCGTAATTTAGATAATGACCGGTCATTATCCAATTCTAATGACCGGTCATTAGTAAAATCATGTTAAACATCATTTTATAAAAACAAATAAAACATTATTGACTTTGCAAAACATTGCAAAATGAAAATGAAGACCTATTGCTTTTCGGTAATTCGATGCTTTTCAATTGTTTAGCATGAAAACTTAATATGTCATGATTATGATGTTAGAAAACTGATTTCTGTATGAAACTGTTAAAAAAATGCCCCGTAATATTTTTAAATGTTGTTGTTGTTGTTGGGTTTTTAGGCTGTCCGATCTGAAAATACTATTTCCGCCTGTGCCCCCCTCCATTTCATACGAAATCCTTGATACGCCCCTAGCCCTCATGAAATTACCTCTCTCGACAAGCCCATAACATTGAGAGAAGCACGTCTTGGTTTCTTCGGCGCATCAGTCTGGCCATAGTTGGCGCCCATGGCTTCACGGATCATGCTGTCGTAGCTCCTACTCTTGCTGACGCCGGTAGGGGGCGCTATCTTTGGTCCCATGGCTTGCTGGAGGGTGATGCTGCCGCCTACAAAAAAAAAATAAAGAATTAAAAAAGGCCAACGTTAGAAGTATCAAAATCATGCGATTTCAACAACATTGTCTATTAATTTTTGACAATGTCCAAATACATATAATATTACAAAGAGGTATTTCGTATGATCCGAACATTTTATGAAAAATGAAGTAAGGTATTGGTACTGCCCTTCAGATCATTACAAAGGCAAAAATCACGCTTATAGCGATAAAAACTGTTCCTGACGGAAAAAGAAATCTATTCCGACTGAGTGTTTATTTAATATATATAATTTATCGACATCATAATCATTTCCATCATGTCCATATGCGACAAAAAGTTATTTATTCTGTTGGAAACATCAAAGAGATTAAGTTTTGCTGACACTGATTTGAAGAGTGACAACGTCATCTTACCTGTAGTCCAGCCTGCTTTCACGGGTGGAGCCTGTATCGATGATGTGAAACCAGCCCCACCTCGCGGAGTAATCGGTTTCCCGCCAGTCGCTTGTTCCATCGTCATACCACCCCGTTGAGGCGTGCGCGGTAAAGCCGCCCCTTTTACGCCAGTCTCCTGTTCAATCGTAACACTTCCCTGCGGAGAAGAGCGCGGGCGCGCTGCGGTTTTCCCGCCAGGTGCATGTTTCATTGTAATTCCCTCACGTGATGAAGAGCGCGGTCGAGCCGCAGTTTTCCCGCCGGTTGCTTGCTGCATAGTCATACCTCCACGCTGTTGCTGTTGTTGTTGGGCAGGTTGTTGGGCTGGTTGTTCGGCTGTTTGCTGGGCTGTTTGTGGCTTGCCAGATGATTTGCCATTGAAGGCATCGTGTAAGGATATACCACCGACAGACTGCTCGTTGCCTTGTTTTGGAGCACCCTGTAGCATAATCAAAGGAGAATTTTTGAGCAAAAGCACTTTAAAAACTTCTCAGATTTGAGTAATCTTGAAGGTAGTGTAAAATACAGCTCCTCTGAAAGCCAAAGCGAAAATTTCTTGCTTATTCGGCTTGTTCAGATAAATCAATATCATCGAAACTATCGTAATCTGATGAAGAATAATACCCACAACCATTAAGCTTCCAAAACCTAATAGACGACATAGGCTATGAATGCAGACATTGGCTACTATTATTAATACTAAGTTCCAAACTTCAAACTTTAATTTTGATTATCAAAATTCTTCAATTTTATATTTCTCACCTTTCCAGCGGTTGCCTGTTGCATTGTCATCCCGCCCGCAGCCTGTTGTCTCTGCGGCTGTTGGCTTGGATGAGCAGCTTGGTGGGCTCCTTTACCGCCCATGGCCTGCTGGAGATTCATCCCACCATCTGCGCCTTGTGGTCTGTTCGCTGCTCCCACTCCCTTGACTGGCATCGCGTGTTGTGCATTGCCTCCACGGGGAGCGGCGACCGGTGCGCCCGGTTGATTGGCGGACTTGCCGTTCATGGCTTGTCCGAGGCTCATCCCGACATTGCTTGGCGCTGCTGAAAGGAAAACATGAATTGAATCATTTTGTTATGTTCGAAAGTTGAATATAGGAATAGGGAAACAACAAAAACCTGTAAATGAAACGTTAATGTGTTATAATTTAAGTTTTCCCTTCTATTTCTCAAGTTCTTATGTTGGAAATATAATAAAGATTTCTAAATGTTGATCTCTTTCTTTGGAGCATAATTTGGATATGTTGCTTAACAAAAACTATGCATTAGCCAATGGTGAACAAATGTGTTACAACATAGTTTTAGTTTGTATTTCACAAGTTTGTTACATACGTTGCAATGGTAGGGACGATTTCGAAACGTAGATATAGACTTGAAGACGATAATACCAATGCTGAGGAGGAGGAGACAGAGTAGAAGAAGTAGGATAAGGGGAATAAGTAAACGTAGAATAGTTAAACGTAGAATTTACTTACTCTCTTGTTTGTTGTTCCCTTGTGGTGGTGCGATGGTATTACCTGAAATGGAAATATAATGTAAGACATGATAATGATTGAACCTTTATCACTTCATTTGCTTTTTTTCTCAAAATACAGGGGGTCATGTTTTAAAGATTTCAAAAGCATTATTATTAGAGTGGGATCACACATCATGAACACGGTGATGTAGCCAGGTTACTCAGAATAAGCAACACGGACCAATTTGGCGAAAGTTAGATGGAAGCTTTTCAAATTTTGATTATATAAAATATTAAAAAACACGGATGTCGGATTTTCAAGTTTTCTGATATAACAAAAATATTATGTTCACATTAAGTTTTATACCTAAATAGAAAAAGTGAAATATTGTTTATCATTTTACATTAATCAACAGTCTACAAAAAATGTCGAATTTGGGCACAGAAAAACTTAATGGGAGTGTCACCCTCTCCCGCCTCCACCCTGTAGAGATGCCCCTAAGCTATCAGGGGACTACTCACCTTGCATGACGTCTGTAAGTGGAGCCCCCAGGATATCAGTCAGACCGCTGAAGCCGGGGACGATGCCTCCCGTCACCCCTCCGGTGGTCTGAGATACTTGGTGGCCAGCCATCTCCTTCAACTGAGCATCCAACTGCGAAAAAAAGAAAAAAATTTGCATGATTTGTTTAAATTTTCTGTTAAACACCTCAAAGTATCAATATATTAGACTGGTACCCACGGACCGAATTATTTGCAGCATTACCATCATGGTCAGCAAGTCACCGGCGTGCCAATACTGGTTTTTCAAAGGGGTGGGCGTTTTATGGAGGGGAGCCATTTCAGGTTATTTCATCTTTAAACCATCATTCCCATTTTCGCTTGTTTCAAGCCTGTATAATAGTAAGCAAGAAATTGTATTATTTCATATGAGAGCTAAGTAAAGTATCATAATTATGTAAAAACCACTAACATGTGCCATCCAAAATAGTTGCATACATTCATGAGTTACAATGTATTTGTATTACATTGTTTATTTGTTGACATTGATATGGAAAATAAAGATAAACAAAATACTACGGAGAAGATAAAAATTGTGTAATTCTAACCTGCATGAGCTGCTGCATCATATCCGGCGTCGCAACACGGGCTTCGTCGGCAGCGTCTTGGGCGAGTTCGAAAGGTTCTTCGTGCTGCTCGATGACGGCCGACACACGATGTACGTTGCCATGCGACGGTCTCCTCTTCTTCCTCCTCCTCATCCTGGTCTTCCTCTGCTCGCCGGGCACGGCTTGTTGGGTCTCCTCGCCGTCGATCTGGACGATGACGTCGGAATGAAAAGCGGTTTGTTTATAAGATTATTATGCAGCATGGGTGAAACAGAGAGTTTGTGGCAAAACAAAGTGGGCAGAAAGGATTAAAAACACTTTTTGATATAGCAAAAGGAGAAATTCAAATAAATGGACACTTTCCATACAATTTTGTTCTATTTATCATTATTTTTCATCTATACAAAACATGATGTATCAGTTGAAGAACATATTTGAAACGTGAATATTCTATATTATATTATTTCCTTCATAAAATACAGAATAATGATAATATTTTGTCCTCACAACATTAATTGCAAGGTTTACAACATGACGAAATTAGAAGTAAGCAATTATTTTCAAGTTTGTCATACTTAGAAAATGTTTGAATGAATGAATAAATGAATATAATAAGTGAATACGTAAATGAGTGAATAAATTAACGAAACATAAATAATAATAATAATAATAATAATAATAATAACAACAACATTTATAATGCGCACATATTCACCCCACGAGATGCTCAAGGCGCCTAACAAGGTAAGTACATTAAATTTAAGAGAAGAAAATAATTTAACATAATTGAATATAATTCAACAACGTTAATTACGTCAGATTGTGAAATACACTGCGTCTTAACTAAGGAATTCAGACATTAGATAGGTTTTAAATGCATATAAATGAAGAAATATACAATGAATGAATGAATGAAATACAGAATGAATGAATGAAGAAATGAATAAATAAGAACAAAATTCTAACCTTGATGAGAGTGTCCTCTGGAGTTTCCCACGATGTCGCGTCTGGTTGCCAGGCAGGAGCACGAGGGCTCAAATCTGGTCCTGCTTCGAGTGCAGATCCAGGCCTATCTCCAGCTGATCCAGGTCTCTCCAAAGCCGACCCGCGTCTATCCGTTGCTGTGCCAGGTCTAAGATCAACAGTGGATCCAGACTTGGACCGCATGCTGCCAGAGCGGGAGCGGAGACTACCAGAGCGAGAGAGGCTTCCAGCCAAGCTAGCGCTATCTGGTCTGGTCTTCCAGTATTCATCAAGCTAGAGAACGAAAGAAAAGAGGAAAATGTTTGGGTATCTTTAAAAAAATCTACATGGCCGTGAATACATTAGAGGTGTCTAGTAAAAACTTTAAATTTAAGATTAAGCATTTCCGAAATTAGAAAAAAAAACTCTCAGCAATTAGTACAAGAAAATGTCAATGTTAATTTTGTATAATAAATTTAATTACGCCTACTATTTATACCTTCGGAAGAATAAGCAATATTTGATAATTATATAAATCAAATTTAAACAGTGCATTCAGAGGAACTTCAAAACATGGACATTTTCGTACTCTATCCCATTTTGGGTCCGGTCGATTCCTTTCTTGTCTTCCTTTAATATTCTCTTCTCATTTCCTTGTTTTTCCATTTTCTTTTTAACCTCCTCGAAATCAATTTGTGTCCATGTATGTTACACCTCGTCTTCATCATCATTTTTAATCATAAATAATTTGTTTCTTCCCTATCTTGATCTTTTCTTGTTGAGAGTCTCCTTCAAACCATTTCCGTTATTGTATAACATTTTGGACTTAATTGCTATCAAATATGTTCTTCAACGTCTCTGATTGTATCCTATTTTTATTTCCTCTCCAAAATATTCCGTTCCTTCAAGTTCTTCGTTTTCATGAACCACTATGAATAATCTTCCTATTCTCTTTATTGTCATCTCCTCTTTTTTGGGGAAACTGCTTAAATCTTTCAATATTTTTGTTTCTGGTTTCAGCAGCGGCGGTATTAAAGGCCGTCTGTGCTAGTTTGGATAGGAGGGATTAGACCACACATGGTGGTCACTGATAGGTGGCTATCTCATCAGCTCAGCTCTCAATTAACATAGGGAAAAGAGGATCATGGGGGACCAATGGTCACCGATTAGGCATTGTTTTTCTATATAGAGGGAGCAAATAACTGCAAGTATTACAGTGGGGCTTTAAATCACTCACCAATCCAAAGTCCTCCTCACCGTCCAATAGTCCCTCAGTTTCGTCCAAATTTCCGTTCTTTTTCAGCTTCGCTTTAAGTTGTTGACGACGGAGCTTCTCCGCAGCACTTTTCTTCCCCTCCTGGAGGGACGTTTTAAAAACACAAATGAATTGAAATATTCAAAGAAGTGAAGATTATTCACTCCTTTTAAAATGATTTGCCAAATATCCTGGGACAGCTACTAGCTACCCGGACAACTATCCCAAAACAAGGGACCATTTCAGACGACTAATACTCTATGAATTAGACCTCAGGCAAACTACATTACAGAGTGTAATCTTATCATCACAATTTTGTTCTAATCTGTTATAATAATGTGTATACTCTATATTAGAAAATAATAAAAGTAAATGGTTTATACATGTGATATAAAACAGAAACTCATGTACATAATCTGTATTTAAAATTGCATCAAATAAAAAAGCAAATACAGGTTATCAAGAGAGAGAGAGATAGAGAGAGAGAGAGAGAGAAAGAGAGATGGGAAGGGAAGAGAGAGAGAGAGAAGGGGGGGGGGGGCGGATCGAGTAGCGGCGGGGTCTAGATCAAATCCGATACGAAAAGGTGCATAAAACATTTAATACTCCACAGCGACTCGATTCATACCGACCAGCTATTGGGTTATGCAATTTTCAGTTCGGTCCGATGTCGGTCAGCTGTTGGTCTGGTCGGTATGAATGAGGTTTAGTGAGGTATCATAACTTATATAGAAGAATTTCCCTGTTTTAAACAATAAAATGAAGAGCGCTCTCTTACCGGAATGATACTCATTTCTGCAGCATCCTTGTACAGCTTATCCTTCTCACGTTCATCCTAAATTTTACAAGGAAAACAAAATGGATCAAAAATCAGCAAGTAAGGGGTAAGAGGACACTTTTTTTTTTTTTGGTCTCGAAATTTGAAAATTTGACATTTTGCTCCGTGGGGGGGGGGGGGGGTAAGGTCACCTTTCTTAGGTCAGCCATGGAGGTAATTTTTTTTTAAATAAAAAAAAAATATAAAAAAATCCAAAGGGGGGGGGGGGTTTGGTTTTTTTTTTAGGGGGGTTTACACACATAAAAATACCAAAAAATACCACATAATACCCCAAACACCCCCCCCCCCCCGCGTACGCGCCTGAGCTGGCCATCATGCTTGGCCAATGCGATTGGGCCGAGGTCAATTTGCCCTCGATACACTAACAAGAAACCCCATGGACGACAGGTTTGGCAACAACAAAAAACCTTAAATATATAATATTTTAACACTGTACGTTTGCTATTTCGAGGTATCTACAGTCTCTACGCCACCGCATTAGAAAATAACTCGTACAATATTTTGTAATTAATACTCATATGATTGTTACAAAGGAGGTCGTTTAATTTTCATATAAATTTGGTATGTGAAGGTACATGTATTTCAAATATACAGTCAAACCTGCTGTAGTGACCACCTGTATAGAAAAACCACATTTTGTGTTTCCCTTGAAAATTGTTTCTCATTGAAAATGTACTAGAGGAACCTGCCTTATAAAGAACACTTGTCTTGCCATACTTGGGTGGTCTTTAGGATTTCACTGTATTTGCATGAGAAATAACTATGAACAATTATATTTTGCTAACGGGAGAGAGATTGAAAACCATGTCGGAGTGTAGGCGCTTCCTATATTGATTACCACCAATTTTCTACTAATCACATCACAGCAATTATATTATATATATTAGTTACAATACGCTTAATGTATTATCAAATTAAATCAAATCTAATCAACTTGCCGCGAAGAAAAACAAATAATTGACTCACAAGCATCTTTCGTCTCTTGATCTTGAGCTGTTTCTGTCTGAAACAGAGGCCGACGATGAGGGAGACGGTGAAGACACCCAGTATACCAAACACGATGGAGAGGATGAGCATCCAGTTGATGTTGTAGTTCTTGGCTTTGACATGTCTGACGTAATCAGGAGGTACTGTGGTGACAGGGAGGATAGTAATGATGATGATGATAATAATGAATAATAATATTAACACTATTATAGTCGCATACGTAGAGCGCTTAATGCTATATTTCGAAGCAATCTTCGTTGTCGTTAGTATTAATTGGTCATCTAATCGGTACATGATAGTGCACATGCTCCGCTCCCTGTGGAGTGTTTCGGCCAAGCGCCATTTCCCTCGCGAGCTCAATCTGGGCTCGCTGTGGTACGAAAAAAAAAAGCCGACGAGACATGAACCGCGAACCATGTGATCCACAGTCCGATGACGTACCCACTTTTATCTCTAAATAATGGCAAGTCCACGGTGTTTTGTCCCTTACTTGTACCAAGTTGACATCCCTACTTCATTATGCATTCAATATAATTATTTAATTCAATTTTTTACTTCGGTAATGTCATGAATGTGTTGCCGAATTATGAAAATATTTACAGACTAAAAATACACATAAAAATACGTAAAATACATCAAAATACCAATTTCATCGAAAAAGGTATACAATAACGAGTAAGAAGAACCAGACTCTGAACATGTAATATATAGTCGTATATAGATGTAGACTTAGTTCAGAGAAGGATTTATTAAATTGCCTTCTTTAAAACATGTATATGTCTCAACAACATGATCAATTAGCCTATCCAAGCTTCAATATCTGCCATGTTGAATTCAATTGAATTGAATTGACAATGGCTTTATTGAGAATAAAAGAATAACAATGCATAGCGGCCTAAACGGCCGAATTGGGCAATGTCTTACAAATGTAAATTACATTATATAAAGACATTCATATCAAATAACATCAAAATTAATGAACTGAACGTAAATATGTAAATTGTGTAAATAATGTTTAACTTTAAAATTCTTATTTCTTATTTGATCTCAAAAGGAGATAAAGAAAGGTGAAAGAGAACATGATGATGGTGTAGAGTCTTACCGGGACATGGATGGGAGAAGCAGGACTTCTCATCGTAGTCGGGATCAACAGCTGGACAGTCCTTGCCTCCATTGCGTGGATGAGGGTTGCTGCAGTGGCGTCGTCGATGTGATATGCCGCCTCGATCACAGGTCTTACTGCACGACGACCATGGAGCCCAGTCCGACCACGCACCTGAATGGAAACAGATAAGAATAACCGTTCTTTTTAAAATTCAGTTCAGTTCGGTTTAATGTATTCATTCCGTTTCTAGAATACACAAAATATAAATGACAAACATATATAATTTATATCTACATTAAAAAGATAATAGATTTAGAATATTAGCCTGTGTTACAATGTAAGAAAATACAAAATGGGCGAAATAAATATAAAGCCTAAAATCGGCCTTGTGGAACGAATCACATTTGATAACTGTGATTTGGACGCCATACTAAATAGCCATTCTGTAGGTCTGTAGAGGTGCCGTGGTCGAGTGGATATGTCACCGGACGGTTCGATTCCCGGCACTAATGTCCTTTGGCAAGACATTAATCTACGTTACTTTTCCAAACTCGACCAAGGTGAGGTAAATGGGTACCTGGGGGTGTTTCACAAAGATCCTAAATTGAACTTAACTCTAAGTTGGCCCTGAAAAATATGGAGAGCCATGACTTGTGTAGCCTTAAAACAAAATATATTCAAAGGCAAAAAATCAAGTATTTTAGACTTTTCATAAATTCCACATCTAGAACATGAAATCCTTTTGATAATAGAAAATATGAATGATTTGCATCAACAGTTTATACCTTTTGAAATAACTTTTACAAAATATTTTTAAAGATGCCAACGGCTTCCATAATTGTTAAGTCCAACTTAAAGATAAGTTCAACTTAGGATCTTTGTGAAACACCCCCCGTGTAGGATTATTCCTTGAAATGTGTGCTGATAACGGCCAAGGTAAGGCTTGGGTAATAATTTCCAAAGCTCTTTGGAAGTACATAGGTTCGTTATAGAATTATCTGCTTAATTTAGCCTATAATTGATTACCATTACATTTCATGTCCGTACCTTTCCTATTGTACTTTTGTCTAGTTATCATGTATTTCATCTTTTGCACAAGCTGTGCCTTGAGCATTTGATTGTCAAGTGGATTTGGCGCCTTACAAATCTTATGTATTATTATTATTATTATTATATGCGCTTTACAAGAACTGTATCTATTATTATTATTGTATACAAATACAATATCTCTATTTGAAGAAGAAAAAAAGGTAAAAGAAAAAAGATTAGACAAAATTAAAATACATAGGATATCTATAATTTGGGTTTTGTGTTCTAGAATTTTGGGAAACTACGACGAACAGACCTTTAGAGGTTTTCGTTACTTTCCATATATCATATCAAATATTTCAAGAATATTTTCGGTAAGGTGTTTTTTTTAGGTAGGAAAATCCGATTAATGCACGCTTTTATGGAAAAGATGGAGATAAATAAGGTATTCAGTTTATGCGAAAGAGCTAGGAACAGAAGGCGAAATATAATAACTGCCAAGTCTGCCAATGTGTTCTGTTTTTTAATTTGAACTTGATGTCTCATCTCGTTTTTCTACATCTACTACATACAGCATTCATGATCGCGTACGCTTTGTCCTTGATTAATACCCCCTTCACATACACGGATTTTCCTTACGAGTCCTTACGGATCACCAACTCGAAGTCAATCGCAAGCATCCGTAAATAACTCGCTGGTATCCGTAAATGGCTCGTCACAACTCGCAGATACTCGTAAGGATCCGTGAAAGGAGAGGCAGATTTGTTGACATGTCAAACATCTTCTTACGATTGTCCACGGATTTATTTGTCCGTAAATAACTCGTAAATAGGTCGTAACAATCCGTAAGTATTGTAAACCGCTCGCATCAACACGTTACCACCCGTAAACTGCTCGCAAGAATTCGTAAATGACTCGTAAAGATTTTCTCTAACGATTTGTTTCGGTTGGTTTACGATTTGTTTACGGATTATTAACGGATTACTTACGGATCATTTCCGGATTATTACGAGTGCTTACGTGTTGTTTACGATTTCATTCGGGTCGTGTTACAATGGCTTTACGGATTGTTACGAGTTATTGCGAGCACTTTACGTGTAGTTACAAGTACTGTACAAATAGATACGTATACAAGTATTCTTACGTATCGTTTACGTTTTTGGGGAAAGGTATAAAAGCTGCAAATTTGAACACTTCATTTTCAGTTGTTATTTTTTGGTTAAAAATCGTAAGGACTCGTAAATACTCGTAACTAACTCGTAACTATTCGTAACAACACGTTAACAGGTCGTTACTAACACGTAAGTTGCTCGTAGTTATCCGTGACATCTCGTAACAAATCGTGGGATTCTGCCGTAAGTATATCATAATAACTCGTAATAATCCGTAACAAACCGTAAATAGCTCGTAATAACTCGTAACAACTCTTAAATCGGTCGTAAAAGTGGCCAAATCGTAAGGATCCGTGAAAGATCCGTGAATTTGTGCGATCCGTAAGGACTCGTAAGAAAAATCCGTGTATGTGAAGGGGGTATTACGGTTGGGTTTCTCCATGGACCTCCTCGATGAAGATACGTGCTGCTCGAACAACTTCATTGTTATTGTGCCACATCTCTTATTGTGCAAACATCGCCCCCATCACAGCTTGCACGTACCATGGCATTCAACAATTTCTTTTCATATATATATATATATATATATGACGTCAATCCAAAAAGATATATATGTTAAATTGATTGTAAATGCCAGCAAGCATTGCTGGTGTAATTGTAACACACATGTTTTTATAATCCTGGAATCCTGGTTCGAGTCCAGGGCAGTGTAGATGATGTTGTAGTCTGTACGAGGGCAGTCGGTAAGGTAGAAAGCCCGAGTAAGCGAATCCTGCACTTTGCAGCGAACAACATCTCTATTGTTCATTTTTTCTATTTACGCGTAGTTGCTTTTATAATAATAATTTGTGCAAAAGTTCGATACATGCACTATTCCATGAGTTGTCATATACAAAAACAATAACATTTTACAAAATAACCTCAGCCGCACAGCGACATACATATTAAACTTAACATTATATTATTTGTGACTGCGTGAACAAATATATTTGGGTTTTGAGTTCTCGGCGGTTGGGAAACTACAACGATCATACCTCTAGAGAGGTTTTCGCTACTTTCCAGAAGTGAAAAGAGTTGTTGTTGTGTGTATGAGAATGAATGTCATTAAAATATTCATATCAAAGATGATAGGAATATTTTCGGTAAGGTGCTCTTTTTAGTAGGAAAATACAATTAATGCACGCTGATATTGAAAAAGATTTTTTTTTCCTCAATTTATTCAGTTTATGCGAAAGATCTATAGGAGCAGAAAGCGAAAGATAATGACTACATACATACATATATTGTTCTGTTTTGTAATTTGAACGTGACGTCTAATCCGGGGTCTAATCTCGTTTTACTGCAACTACCCGATACAGTAAAAACATTCATGATCGCGTACGTTATTTCCACAACAGATAGAAAATGGCGTCACATTTCATGAATTGGTGGCGCCGCGGCGCCGAAGAGCTGCAGCAGACGTCTTTGTATTCGCTGCACATGTTCAATGCATAATAACGCGACCGATGTTTCGGTTCTGCAATCCAAACAACCTGATACGTGATTGGTCAAAAAGGAAATTCTTGCTGATTAATATCTAATCAGAGACACCGTAAAGTACTAGGTTATAAATGACTTCATATCTCAAATTGTGGCTTTTCGTTAATAATTACTCATTAATGTCCCAGGTTTGCCACATTTGATATTTGATTATGTAAATATAATCAAAGAACAAATCTTTTAAGACTAAATTAGCTTAATGTAGTGCGTGACATCAAATTTGATATAGATATACATGTTAAATTCCCTACGACGGGCGTGAAACATCGCTGGTGTATTGGTATTACACAGGTTTCATGATCTTAGATCCCTGGTTCGAGTCAAGAAACGAGTCAAGAAACGAGTCACTCAATGAAGTGTAGATTCTTTCTAGAAATTGCTGTCTTTGGTTCGAGTCAAGGGAAGCTAAGATGAAGTGTAGATTTCTCCTGCATGAATAATGCGGGCTCTGTGTGGACGTGTGGTCTTCTTCTGAATAATGCGGACTTTGGAAATGTAATCGGGTACCGCCCCTTACTAGCCGCAATTCTCCTTTTTCAATTTTTACAAAAGATGCACTATTAAATGACTTGTCATACAAATATTCAATCAATACAAAATTACGCTTTTAGGACAAATACCCAACTTGCACTGGGCAATCACCTTCCGGAAAATTACCACCTCTCGAAAAAACTACCCCCACGAGGAAAATTACCCCCCGAAAAACACTGCTTTTATTACAACCAACTTATTATCAGGCCGGACTTCCCCTTTAACGAATAGGGGAGGGGGTAATTTTCCTCAAGGGTGGTTGTCCTTGGTTGTTCTGGTGGCGAAGGTAATTGTCCTCGGATGGGGGGGGGGGGGCTAATTTTCCGGGGGGTCATTGTCTTCGAGGTATAATTTTCCTTGGGGGTTGGTTTTCTGGAGGGGGGGGTAATTTTCCGGGGTGTGACTGCTCAGGGGGTAATTGTCCTGATAAACAGACTAACCTCGACCGCACAGCGACATTAGATATTAAACTTAACCAAATATAATTTGTACACTAATTCTATCAAACATAAAAACAGACAAGGAAACTAAAATCAGAATTATTTGGTAAAATGAAACAATTTTTTTCACGAAATTATTTTGTTTTTGCTATATATCTTTCTGTATCACAATAAGTTTCAACAGCTGACATGACTTTATCAAACAATGGTATCTGATTTTTGCATTTGGCGGAAAAGACCTACTTTCTTACAATAATTAAGATACCATTACAAGCGTTTTTGTGACCTCCTTTTAATCCAAACAATTCATTTTGGTTTGTCATTTTGGCATTTATATTGGTCTTACTGAAAAACCATTGCTCAAGTTTGGACCATATCATATTTGAATATGGGGAGTTACACAAAATTATATGCATAATTGTCGTTTCACTGCTGTTACAAAATGAACGATGTTTATCAGAAACTTTTTGGAATTTCAGCAATTAATCTTTCATGTAAAGTATTCTGTTTAAAATCTTAA